CTGCTCACTGTGTCTGCTCACTGTCATCTGCTCACTGTGTCTGCTCACTGTGTCTGCTCACTGTCATCTGTTCACTGTCATCTGTTCACTGTCATCTGTTCACTGTCATCTGTTCACTGTCATCTGTTCACTGTGTCTGCTCACTGTGTCTGCTCACTGTCTGCTCACTGTGTCTGCTCACTGTGTCTGCTCACTGTGTCTGTGCACTGCCGTCTCCTCCTCCCTGTGTGCTGATGGTCATCAGAACATCAGCTGCTGTCTGATGTCTTCAGCATCTTTACCTTCATATAGAAGCAACTTTAGCTGTGATACCATCTGTGTTTTGACCCCGCCCTGCTCAGATATGTGCCCTCCACCCTGAGAATCAACACTGGGCCCTGGTTCCTGATGCTGCAGTGTGGAGCTGTGGTGTTTGGCAGCGCAGACAGAAATCAGACCCGTGGGTTTATTAGTTCTTGGAGGCGTGTTGTTGTAAGGATCAGACATGAAGAAAGACTTCAGATTAAAGCAGTGAGAAGACAAACAGCAGCTGAGCCCAGGAGGACTGAACCGGACCACAGAGGCTTTTATTGACCCACTTCAAAGGGTCGAGCTGAAAGTTCTGATTCTCAGCAGGATGGAACCACGGACCGATCAGGTTCTTCTACAGGTTCTGGATCACAGAGTTCCAAACCTGAAGTCCTCTCAAACACCAGCTGATGATGAAGGTTCTGTCTGACAGGAAAACAAGAACATTTGGTTCTGAGGTCAGAAAGACCTGGTCTCAGCTTACCCCCATCAGGTCCACACTGGTTCTACTGGACCCCAGAGCTGATGGATCAGAACCATCTTCCTGTTTTAGTCAAATATTTTGTTGGTTTTTAGTGATGAAGAGAAATAAAACAAAAAGTCTGACCAGGTTCTGGTTCTGGTTCTGGTATTAATTCAGTGGACTGGTTTCTGACCCATCCTTGATGTTGATGGTTGATGTGACCATCGTCTGCAGGACCTCCTCCTCTTCCTCCTGATGATGATGGTGATGATGGTAATAATGATGATGATGATGATGATGTGATGATGATGATGAAGATGATTATAATGATGATGAAGGTGATGGTGACGATGAAGAAGAAGAAGATGATGAAGATGAAGCATCCTGCAGTGGAAAAAGGAGGTCAGGTTCTGGAGGGGCTGCAGTGATTCAGAGCTAAGTTCAGCTTGTGGGCGGGGCTTGTCTCCTCGTGACTCGGCTTATTTAAAAGATGATGTCAGCAAATTGGCGAGCTGTTGGTGGCCTCGCTGCTCCGAGCCCACATGGGAGAACAGTCATCCTCACAGGACCACGCCGTGCCAAGTCCTGCAGTCCTGATCCACCCGGGTCCACAAGCTGGTTCTCAAGGCGTCCCTCAGAACCAGTTCCACCAGAACCAGCATGGTCCAGAACCTTCCTGTGGGCTGTCCTGCAGAGATGGACCTGGTGTTTCAGAGTCGACCCATCAGGCTCTGAAAAGTTTTTAGATCATCAGGTTTCAGGGAAACGTTTAGCTAAGACCTGAACCTGATCCTGGATCTGGGTCTGCTCTGGTTGGTGTTGGAGCTGAGGACTGAAGTGGATCTTTGGTTCTGGGTCACGTTCACTGCAGACTTTCCTTYAAGGAAGGAGTTTTTCCTTCAGCTGAGAGGAAACAGCTGCAGATTAAATCTGTGCATTTAGCTTCTTGTAGCTTCCAGCTGATTGTYGCTAAAATAAACTGATTCTAACTCACCTGATGACTCTGTGAGGGGTTCTGCTTCTGCTTCCACCAGGTCCAGGACCAGGACTGGACCCTCCTGAGATACAAGAATTTTTTCACGATTATTTTCTGACAATAAAAGAAGGTTCTGGTRCTGGTGGGTTCAGGTCTTAGTGTTTTCAGAACCTTTTTCTTTAAGCCCAGCTGCAGATTGAAGATCCACTTCAAGGATCCAGATCCCACCCAGAACCGAGCCTCAGAGGATCAGAACTCATACTTTCCTTCAGATGTAAACAGATTCACAGTWAAACAGTCTTAAAGTTGTTTTAAAGTCAATAAAAACTGAGTGATAATAATRATAAATGTTTGATTCATAAAGATGTTAAAGGAAAACTCTGAGTCTGGATCCTAAAGTCTTGTTATTGTGTTCAGGGTTGGCTACAGGAAGTGATGATGATGTCACTTCCTGGTTATGATCAGGTCCATCAGGGTGGACGGTGTGATTCTGTCAGGAGAAACKGTTTCAGAACCACCCAGGACTTAACGAGAACAGATCCTGAGTCATGCAGACAGCATGGCTGACCCCCCACCCCCCCACACACAGAGGATCAGGTTCTGCAGATCTCAGAAACTGCTGTGACTCCCTCCTGCTGGAGCAGGGACTCAACATTTCAGTAAAACCAGAGCTTTGATCAGAAACTTTCTCCCAGCAGGACTGGATTTGTTCAGATCTGTAGAAAAGGTGAAACATCCCAACAGAACCATTTAAATCAAACAAACCCTCCGACAGGAAGCTGAATCACTGAATGAGTTCCACCTGATGATCTGTTTCTGGAAGCTGCTCCTTCTTTCCCACAGCAGCAGCAGTTTCTGTCAGCAGGTCAGGGATCAGAGGTAAATCCTGTCTTTCTCCTGATTCACTGGAATGTGCCCACATCTGGATCAGCTCAGTGYAAACACTGGGTGGGAAGAACTGAATCAGGTCTCCCAGGGTTTGGAAGAAAATGAAACARGCAGAGAAAACTCCTGTAAACCAGATTTCAGTCGACTGATCAGGTCAGGGGGTCACAGCAGCTCCTGTTTGATTCCTTTTCATAGAASAAAATTCACCTCGTCTTCATCACAAACTCTGCAGGAGACCAAACATCCTGGTGAGTTCAAAGGTTGTGAGAGAGCTCTTTACTTTTACCCATCATCAGATGGTTCTTGTGTGATACCTGGCCATCATTTGGGACTGAACC